TGTTAATGATCTGAAGCCAAGCATAGAAGTTGGCTCTTAACAGCCAAAGCTCTTTATCCTTAATATCCATCACATAATCTTCTGCTCGCTGGTGACCTTCTTCTCTACTTCCCTTCTCACTTAAGCTTCTTGAAAGAACAGTCCATCCTAGTAATACTAAGAGTGATAATAGTAAAAATGGTTTAATAGCAACCATTTATTGAGCACGAACTGTGTGCCAGGCACTGAATTAAGTAATTCTCATACATTCTTTCATTAAATTTAATTCTCATGGCAACTTTCTGAGGGAACTACTATTATTAACCCCTTTTTACAGATGAGGAAACAGGATCATGGAGCAGAAATATCTTGCCTAAGTCACACAGTCAGTAAGTGGCAGAGAAAAACTCCAGCCTGGGTCCATCTGCCACCCAGTGTGTGAGCTCATCCCACGAGCTCTGTAACGTGAAATCCCAGCTCGCTAGCAGACTTGGAAGGGCCTCTCTGATCTGGCTGCTGCCTGCCTCCCTAGCTCCAGCTGCCATGGCACCCTGCCACTCCACCTGCTGAGCCTCCTCCAGCCTTCCGCTTCACACTCCAGCAGTCATGCCCTGTTGTCACCATGCTGGGGCCTCTGGCTACTGTGCCCACTCCTTCCCCTTGTCTATCTAGTAAACTCTGTTCTCTGAAAACTCTGCACACCTTGCCTCCTCTGTCAGCCTTCCCTGACCTTCCTGAAGTTCCTCACTCTCCTCTGTGTGGCCTCTGTATCTTCTTTTGTTGCCAATATCTCACCATGTTGCAGCTACAATTTTTACAGTTGTGTCTCCATCAAGGGCATGGACCAGGTTTATATATCCCCGCATCCCCAACACTAACGCGTGCTAGGTGCATGATAGATACTTAATAAATATTCGTTGAACTGACCACAATTTCTTTACTGGCCCTAAAAGTGTATTCTCTGGGACTAGTTATTCTGCCAGCCAGCTCTTCCTTGGGCAATAAATAAACTGGCATATAGTTTATACAATGGTCTCTTTAAAGTTTGGATTTTGTGAATTGCTTTGCCAGCAGCTAAATACCTCTTTTAGTGAGCTAATTAAGTCAAGTTGTTGAAGCAAAAAGAATCAGGACGAGATTCTGTTTCCACTAACATTTATTAAGCATGAACTTTGTACTAGGAATTACACAGGACATCCTCATGTTGTATCATTTTAGCCTAACAACAATGCAGGGGTGTTATTCTGCCTATTTTATGGCTAAAGAAATGAGGCTCTAAAGGGTTGAGAGCTTTTCTCGTGATCAGCAGTTGGTTGCAGAGTCTGAGTCTGAATTCAAAGCTATAGACTTGAACTCCAGGACTCTCTCTGGACCCACAGTGACCCTGTTCAGATGCACCTGTGAGCCCCAGCCTGCGTGTGTGCCAGCCTCACACTTGCTCTTTGCATCCTGTTGCATCCTGTCAGCATCATCATGGCCTGGGGACCTATGGGAAATCTCTGAGCATGAGAGTGTTTTGGAAGCTGAGTGGTGTGAGTACAGAGATGGCCTCATGCTTAAACACAACTCGTACATGTGCACATTCACATCCATACTCACCCAGTGAAACTTCACCAAGGCCCCAGAGAACATGGGTCATTACTTTAAAATCCATTTTTGCTCTCTTCCCAGAGAACAGGGAACAGTCATAACTCAAACCCCGGCCTTTTAGGAACTGGTCTTCTTCTGCCTCTTGACCAGTTTAAATCTTGCCACAAGACAAGTGTTGGCTCCTCTCCCTGCTGATAATCTGAATATTCTTAAAGATGGCCCATTCACTGGAGCATTGGCCTGAGAAAAGAATGATCTAGAAGGTGCATCTGCTGAGGGCGGGGACAGAGCTGAATCCTGAGTGTCACAAAATCAGTGGAGGAGATGGTGGGACCCTGCAATCTGTGCAAGGGTCTCTTTCACTCACATCCAAAGGTACTTTGGGGCTCTGTGGAGCATACTGGACCTCCAATGCCCCAGGTTCCAGGTCATTGACCTCTACACATAGAAGAGACGGGGCCTGAGATAAGGATTCCCTTAGGAGAGAGAAGCAGGCCGGTCCTGGGTGAGTTTTATAAGTTTGTTGCTGAGACGGGGGAAGCAGGGAGGTGAGGGCTGAATGAGGACAAGAGCTCACGTATGGAGGACACAGATCTCTTCGTTGATAGGACCAGCCTGCAGGGGTGCTCCCAGCTGTGGAGTCTGCAGGGACCATGAAAGATACAACATACAGCCAGGTGTTTTACCTGAGCTGGTGTTGCTCTAACAGGAGACAGTTCTTGTGGGTCTATAGAGCCCCTGTAATCTCATGTACCCATGGAGCACAGGGAAAGTAACTGCCTGCACCAGGGCATGGGAGGCGCAGCAGGAGGATGGCCGTCACGCTTGAGAAAGACCTCCCTCGGCAGAGGGGCCTGCAGGCCAGAGAAGGGTCAGTTTGGCAATGCTTCAGGAAAGGGAGGCTGAGTTCAGAGGTCTCTTGGTATGGAGGCAGCAGGATGGGCTAGAATCCTGATTCTAGAGTAAGAAAGACTAAGACAGAGACATGGAAGAGAGGAGGAGAAGTCAGTGGCAAAGAAAAGCAAGAAGGAGATGATGACAAATGTGACAGAGGAATTTCTTAGAGAAGAATGTCCAGAGGAAACCAGGGCAAGGTGGACAGCTGTCTTTCACTTTATCTCGTGGTCTTCCTGGTGGGCGAGCTCAGAGCTGCGGTCTTCCCTGGGAGGTCCTTGAATTGACTTGCACTCACCAGCCTGGTCTTGGCCTCCCCGGGGGCTGCAGTTCCCACTGCCAGTGATGCAGCCCCCAGACAGCATGCTGTAGCCCCGGCCGACAGAGCTGGGCCAGTAGCCATAGGTGCCGGCGCCACTGAACCCAAAGCCGGTTCCTGCGCCCAGGGTCCCAGCTGTGGAGCTACTGATGACCGCTGTGGAGGATGGAGGGAGGAATGATATGTGTGGATCCTGGACAGGGATGACCCTAAGTCTCCTCCAGCCTCCTAGCCCCAACTAGCTTAAATGTCTCCCTCTTAAGCAAACACTTCCCATCCACCGTGGACTTGAGTTCAGGGACACGCGCTCAATCCCTGAGCAGCTCAAGCACCGGGTGAAACAGCCCAGATCCCACAGGACCCCCAGACCAGGCACCTCCTCATTCTATGAACAAACAAGAGTAGTGAGGGCTCCTCTAAAGAACAGATGATGCCCAAGCTCACATAAGCCAACAAGTCTTGCATTTAACTTCAGAACACGTTCTTAACATTTTTCAAAGAATTTCCTGATTTCTTGATTTAGAGGAGTTTTTGCCAGCCTGTCTTAGAAAGAGACTGAGCTGAATCCTGTGGGGCCAGCACTAAAACTGGTTGTGCATGGCATGTCTGTGCACAGGCCTCCACTCTCAGCGAGGAGGTGCGACTCTTCTGCTGGGGTCTTCCTTCATGCAGGAAAGCCGGGTTGGGGGTGACAGAAGAGGGGTGGGGCTGAGAGTTTCTTCCCAGCATGGGTGAGATTTCTTGGGAAGGGTCAATGTGAAATGTCAGAATGTGGTGGGGAGCTGACTCCATGGGGAAGAGGCAGCAGGTCTCAGCAAGGGAGGCGATTATAACAATGGCGCTCTACTGGGCGGACCCCAGGCTGTCCCACAGGGGGCCCAGTGGTAGGCACCCACTTACTTTGTGTTCGCTGATGGACTACAAATATCCCCTCAGAGGACTGAAATACTCACAAATGCTCACAGAGTTGGTGTATTCTCCAGACATCCTGCATGGTGAGAAAAGCACAGACGCGTCTCCATCACATGGAATCCGAGTTGCCCTCACCACGTCATCAAAAATCATCAGCCGGACTAGCTCAGCCTCCACAAGTGCTCCAGCTGGCCAGATGCTGTTAACTGCGCCTGCCTATCTCTACACACCGCCCTCTCCCTCCTCCATCTACTCTTCCCACTGCAGAGATGTGCGAACTGGCAATCTTGGAGCCCCCAACAGCAACACCACCTCCCAGGGTCCTCCCCCACCACAGGGTTTCTCTTTAGTCCATCCCTTCATTCCTGTGAGGCTGCTGCCTGAATAAATACATGTGTGGAAATATTATCATCAGGAGTTGCCACTAAGGAATCAACTGTATGATTTTAGGACCAGTAACTTCTCTCCGGGTCTCAGCAATGCAATGATGCTAGGTTAGAACAGTGTTTTTCAAATGTCAGTGTTTTGTTTACCACCCTTCTAATTGTTGCTATGACCATGCACAACTCATACTGTTATATATTTAGCATTTTTCATTAACTCTGACTTTTTTTTGGGGGGGGGGTTGAGGAAGAATTGCTCTGAGCCAACATCCGTTGCCGATCCTCCTCTTTTTGCTGAGGAAGATTAGCCCTGAGCTAACATCCATGCCCATCTTCCTCTGTTTTGTATGTGAGATGCCACCACAGCATGGCTTGATGAGCAGTGCGTAGGTCCGCGCCTGGGATCCAAACCCGCGAACCTTTGGACGCAGAAGTGGAGCATGCGAACACAACCAGTACACCACCAGGCCAGCCTTCACTAACTCTGGCTTTTATAACAACAATGTATTTCTTTTAAAAGGAAGTTTGATGTCACCATGGTAAATAGAAAACCAGTACTGCCTGACTAACAAAAGAACAAAAAGGCAGCAGTAAAAATAAATGTAATGAAAATAAATCAATTTAAAAACTTTTGGCTAGATATTGTCTGCCAAGAGACTCTGATCCTGGGATCTACTGTCTCTTTATTAATAAGGATATTTGCAAGTGTCAGAGAGGTGTTAAAGACACAGCAGCACCAAGCTGAGACTTTCTCTCCCGTCGTAATCCGGAGAGTCGAAGGAGGAGAAATGTAAAGGAAATCGCTGTGTCGTTATCTGACTGGATGCTGTTTAAGGCTATGTTGTGGGTGACCTGAAAAGCATCTTCAGCCCCTCCAGCAGGCTGCCCCCCCATACTCTGGGAAACTGAGTCAGAGGATTCCAAACGTTCTTCCAGCTCTAATGTTCTAATACCCCTCCCACCACCGACCTGCACTCCTCACCCTCCAGCAGCTTCCTGTAGGTGGCGATCTCCAGGTCCAGGGCCAGCTTTGTGCTCATCAGCTCCTGGTACTGGAGCAGCATGCGGGCCAGCTCCTCCTTGGCCTGGTGCAGGGCAGCCTCCCGTTCGTCCAGCTTGGCTTGGGTGTCCTTCAGGGCACAATCACCACGCTGCTCGGCATCGGCAATGGCTGTCTCCAGGTTGGAGCACTGAGGGCCAGGAGGCAGGATTTCCCCTGAGTTCTCAGGCACCCTGAGCCTCACTTAACCCTCCCCATGTGCTCCCTGTGGCTGGAGCCTTCTCTGTCCTGCCCTACTTCCCACAGCAAAGACCCACGGTGATGGAGTCCTGCCAACCTGAGCCTGGAAGGCTTGGTATTCTCAGCCCCTCGGCTTTCTGAAAAGATCCTTCCAATTGTTCCAGACTTCAGAGGGGAGCTAAGTGTAGGGGAGGAGAGCAGGGGCTCCACTTGAGGAAGGGGGTTCTGAGATGGAGGACCAAGAGAAGGAGAGGGGCCCGGAAGGGTGTGTGTGATAGGCAGCTCGCCCCTCCCTTGGGAGGGAGCCAGGAACTCCCAAAGCCCCTTCACATGTTTCTTCACACTCTTGATCTCCGAGTACAGCCTCTGGATGAGCTGGGTCAGCTCCGAGATATCGTTCTTGGTGTGTTTGAGGTCATCCCCGTGCTGGCCGGCTGCCAGCTGCAGCTCCTGGAACTAGGAGGAAAGGGGCCGAAGCGGGAACCTTGACTTGGGGCCTGGCTGAGCTCCCCCTGGCAGACTGTGCCTTCGCCTGGGGAGTGCGGCGGAGGTGTGGCGGGGTCCCCAACTTCACCAGCCTACCAACAGCCTCCCACTCAAACATCTGATCATTGGACTTATTTGTTTGCCTTAAACACAGTTGACCTCACTGTTGGTTATGTTTGGCCATAAGGACTGTTGAAAGCCCCATACTCTCCACACTGCAACTTTATAACACAACTTCAATCATGACACTCCTCTGCCTATAGCCCTTCAAAGTCAAGGTCAAATCCAAACTCCTACCGTGGCGTCAAGGTGCTTTGAGGTCTGGCGTCCACCAGCCTCTCCAGCCCCATTTCTCACTGCCACTGCCCATCACCTACCTGGCTCTCTACCTGTGCCAAACAGTTTCATGTTATGTCCCCTGTGCTCTCAAGTCTCTCAGTCTTTGCCTGAGCCTCTCCCTCCAGCTGGAAAACCCTTCCCCACCCATCCTCCGTTTTTCCCTAGCTAGCTCCAACTCAGCCGGTGCAGACTCACTTCCTCCAGGAGGCCTTCCCTGATCCCCTGGTTGGGTGCACTTCTGTTCCCATAGCTTCCCGCACACCAGCCCAAAGGTCTTACCACGCTGTGCTGTGATCACACGTTTCTACATCTTCCCCATCAGACTTAGAATGACTGGATGGCAGGGACCTGTTCTTTTATTTCTGAATTCCCAGTACCTAGCACAGTGCCTAGCTGATGCTCAAAAGAGAGTGAATGAACAAATGAATGAATGAACCGAGGAGGGAGCTGACGAGCTGCCCATCTGCGTTTTCTGTGACTTCTTCCCCTCATAGCTCAGCTAGGCCCCAGGCTGTGGGCAGTCTTGCTGGGCATGGAGGAGCATTTATGTGTGCGTGGTGGGGGCAGATTCGGCTGTACCCCAACCCCACGACAAACCACGAATTTTTGGTCATCTGCTACTGTGGGATTATTCCCGCCTTTGATGTCATCCATTGAATAGTCAACAGAGGGTACTCCGTTTCTACCCCAGAATTTGGCTTAAGGGGAACACAAAACACATGTGACCTTCAGAACTCTGGTGGCTGTCAGTGCCTGTCTCTCTCCCTGGGTGGTTGGCCCTGCTAGTCATCTCATATCTGGCCCCAGCAAGACCCTAGGCTCAGGATTCCTCTTAAAGATGCCAAGTGCCCTGGAAGGGATGGGGGCTTCTCTCTCTGCTCCTGTGTTTTATCTTTGGTGCTAACCTCAGGACAATAAAGACCAGGGCAGGACAGGTGGCCTTCTCCTGCTTCTCTACAAGGGCCCTCCCCACACTGGCTGGGACGGAGGCACTGGCTCCCCCGGACTGACACAACAGCAGTCTCCTTCTGAGGCAAATGCGAGAGCAAACTCCTGCCACTCAGCTCTCTGCCCCCACCAAGTCCCGCTCATAAATGTTTCTTAACCAGAGTCATCCCCTGATTTCGTGTCTAAACACCACGGAATTGGCAGTCAGCTATGGAGATTCAGATCCAGCTCCATCACTGACCAGCTAAATGACCTTGGCAAGTTACTCAAATGCCCTGAGCCCCGGCTTCTTCATCTTCAAAAGGGGGATGATACTAACGAGCCCTCACAACACTGTCGCTGGGACCGCACCAGTGAAATTCTGTTCAGTGCGTGCTTACTGGAAAGGTGCCAGTGTGGATAACCCCAAACAGCAGATGATCCAAAAATCATGTCTGTGCAGACCTGCCTAATTCTTCTGGAAGGAGCTTGGGGTTAAGCACTGGCCACTGGTGATCCAGAGTGATTAGGCCACACAGCCATCCTGCCCCTGGCTTGCAGCAGTAACGTGGAGGGATCCGGCGGCTGAAGACTTGAGTTTGAACCTTTATTAAGAAGCCTATGTTGTCTCCTAGGCCTTGAAAGCCTCCCTTCCTCCCACCCCTGCGGGCCAAATCTTCCTGACCCTAGGGGAGCAGGGAGGCAGGGGGATGGACAAGATCAGGTCTCAAGAGTGTGGATTCCCCTTGAGAAGGAGCCTGATAAGCAGCAAGGAACCATTAGGAAGTTGCCATCTTGATCTGAGAGACCAAATTATATAGAATCATTTCCCCACCCACCACGCATTAGAGAAGTTAAGATCTAAGGGACTCAGACTCCCCCTTTATTCTTGGAATTGGACTTGAATGAAAAGATAGGAGTCACCTGATCTCAGATAACACTGAAGAGACTCCCCCGGTTTATTGTAATTAACTAGAGAGTTGAGGTGCTAACTACCCATGTTTCCCTCCTTCCCATACCCAGTTCAAAACTTTCTGCCTCCAGAAAGTCATTCCTGACCTACCCCTCCTTATCCTAGTTACCTAACCTCTGTCTCCCCAGCATTCACGACTCTGTTGGGGCCGCATTCATCTGCACTCAGTTATGTGTGTCTTCTGATGGCTGCCTCAGTCCAGGTGGATCCTAAGGACAGAGCCGTCTTCTCCTCCCTTCGGGTTTCTCCCAGTGCCCGGGACAGAGCCGTGCTCCCAGCAAGCGTGTGGGCCATTGTGGGCCATGGGACTGGACCAGAGGCCAGGAACACGTGACTCCGGGAGGTGCACAGCCTCACCTTGCACTGGTACAGCGCCTCAGCCTCAGCCTTGCTCTTCAGGGCGATCTCCTCATACTGGGCCCGGACCTCAGCAATGATGCTGTCCAGGTCCAGGTCCCGGTTGTTGTCCATGGACAGGATGACAGACATGTGACTGATGTGGGACTGGATCTGAGCGATCTCCTGCATAGGACACAAGCATGAAATGCCTTTTGTGAGCAGAGCAAGGTACCAAGATGGTGGCCCTGTCCCGGCAGGGGAGCCCCTAAACCCTCCCAAACAGATGCAAGCTGTATTCCCCAAAGCTTATAAGAATGGAACTCACCAGCCCCCAGGGTTCAACACCACATCTAAAAACTGCTGAATGGGTTTGAAGCAGCCCAAGAAGAAAACAGCCCATATATCTGTCAGCTGAGACAGGTCAGGAGTGGAGAAGGTGGAGGGGAAACAGCCTGGCCACCACACAAGAGACACTAAGGACACGGGAGCCCATGGGTGCTTGGCTAACAGGTTGAAGCTGGAAGCCAGATGGTCACAGAAGTGTAGAAAGGGTGCGAGGACTCCCCACCTCCATCCCTGGGGATTCCTGCCCAAGATCCAAGGAAATACTCCTGGCGGCAGAGAGAAGATAGGCAGAAATGGGAATATGCTTTGCTGAAGGTCAGTGGGAACCCTTTAAGGACCCCTGGCTTCCTGAAGGATGTGAGAGCAGGACATCAGGAGGCCAGGCTGGGACTGACACACATCATTTGGGAACACCAGGGTAGATGTCACTCTCGCCTTTGATCTACAAAGCTCTCAGCATCCAAATGCTGGAGATCCCTGTGCCTTGAAGTTACTGATGAGTAAGTAACCGCTCATTCACATGTTTGTCCTTCCAGAACACGGATCTGGGGGTGGGGCTGGGGGAGCCTTACCCGCTCGTACAGACACTTGAGGAAGTTGATTTCTCCGTGCAGGGCGTCCACCTTGGCCTGCAGCTCCACCTTGCTCATGTAAGCCGCATCCACGTCTTAAGGGAATCCAGAGACCCTCCTGACATCACCCTTCTTCAAGCCCAGACGGAGTTCTCCTGGGAACTGGCGCCCCAGCGCCCAGCTCTGTGGCTAGCTGCCCCAGGGAATGGAGTCAAGACCCAGGGGGCAGGAACCTGACTTCCTCCCAGGACTCACTGCTGGAACTTGAGCAAGTTCCTCCTGCCTCTGGAACTTCTTATGCCCCATCCAAAAACGGAATATTTTCACTGCCTCTATTTGTCAAAGAGAGGGTATGGGAGAGAGCCCTGTGAGAGACCACTGGTCGCATGGTCAGTCATCCGGCAGTCAGAGCCGAGGGCAGCCACGGCGATTTGCCAGAGTCAGGCAGAGGTGGAAGCCCCTCTAAAAGCATGTCCTGTTCCCCGAGCCAAAGTGGGCATGACCTGGGGGTTGATTATCCACATCTGGGCTCCTGCCCATTTACACAAAATATAGAAACTGACAAAGTGATATGTGCTAGAGAAACATCAAGGAGTCCCAGGGTGTCCCAAGCAGCAGATTCCTCCATCTTCTTCTTCAGCCCCAGGCCCTTCTGCAGGGAGCACAGACCTCAGTCTCCTCTCTGATGTCGCCTCCTCCTGCCCTCCATACTCTGCTCCCTGAGTGACGGAGGGACACGCGCCCCCTCCTCACCTTCTTAAGCACCACAAATTCATTCTCGGCTGTTGTGCGCTTGTTTATCTCCTCCTCGTACCTGTAGGGAAAGCGTCACAGTGAGCAGTGTGTGTGTGTGTGTGTGTTCTCATTGTGAAAAAGAAAAGAGATGCCCATATTATGTATCTTTTAATAGGTATCGTTCTACATCTTTGCAGATCTGTCCAACTCACTAGGACTATTTGGCCAGCGTTGTGGGCAGGGTTTGAAGCAACCCCCTCCCAGGCCAGGCGACTGGATGGTTTGGGGTCTGGATTTCCTTTGACGCCTGGAGAGTGAGTAGATTCTTCCTCCTCCCACTCAGTGTCCAAGTCACAGGCACATGCCACTGCCCCTTTCAGCCACGACTCTTGTGTCGCCCAGCTGCCTGACACCCCAACCAATAACTCCACCCCACCCCCAAGCATGAGTCCCAAGGAAGCCAGAACTGTCCCCTGGGACAGGAGGAAGGGGTATGGCCCAAATGTCTGGGACCTGAGGGAAATGAGAGAGGAAGCCCAACACAAATCCCAACTCCCTGCCATGCTGGGGGGCTTTCCTTGGAACTTGGGGGAAACTGAGCAAGCTTGGAACCGAGAGGCTGTGGGGTACACACACTCAGGCTTTCTCGAGTGGGGAGCAGGAGGGAGCATGTCGAGGAGGTAGCTGCCTACCAGGACAGCCCTGCCGCTGCCTGAGAGGCTGGCTATCCCCTGTCCAGCCCACCGAGCAGCCTAGAGAAGACCTTCATCTTGCCCAGGCAGAGGAGCTCAGGATGGGTGACTCTCACCTGAGCTCAGTGCCCTTGAGGCCAGAGGCAAATGTCCCAATGCCTGCTGGGAAAGCCCAGTCAGGAGGGGGTCAGCCTGGGCACAGGGCCCCTGCTCACCTCTTCTTGTAGTCCTCCACCACGTCCCGCACACTCCTCAGCTCCGAGTCCAGCCTCACCCTGTCCCCAGACAGCGTCTCCAGCTGCTTCCGCAGGTTGCTGATGTAGCCCTCAAGGGTGGGCTCCAGATTGTTCTCGCAGTTGTTCAGGTCCAGCTGCTGCAGCAGCTCCCACTTGGTCTCCAGCACCTGGTTCTGCTGCTCCAGGAACCGCACCTGGAACCCAAATCAACAGACACTCAGCCAGTGGAGGGAGGCTGTGGAGTCTCCTTTCCTGGGCAGTAGCTAATGCTACATTAGCTTCAAGGGTAAGCTTCAGCCCTTAGAAAATGTCAGTCATGCCCTTCCCCACCCAGGGCCCTTTGTCTGACTGAGGTTCTCTTTCTGGGGACAGCCCCCTAAGATCAGGAGGGGCCTCAATATCTTCATTTCTTTCTAGTCAAGATCTCTCTCCTCTGCACCTGTCTAACTTGCCCGGACCAATGTCGATGGTCAGCCTGGGCCACCTCTCTAAGGCAAGTGCTTAGACATGCAAATGGGCCTGCACTGGCCTTCACGCTCTTGGGCGTCTCTGCTCAGGGCCTAGTGGCCTGGCCTGTGCTCTGCCTACTCTGTCTCCTCGCTCCTGGCTCTCCCAGCCCAGCCAGAGGCAGGTGCTCGGCCAATCTGAGGTCTCAGGCCTCCCATGCTGCTTTCATGTCCGACTCTCTGTGGTCTCAGAGCATCTCTCCAGGGGGAGAATCAGCATTCTAAAGTTGCAGCCTGCAAATACCAGGCCATTCCCCTGCTTAAAACCCTCTAGTGATTCCACATCACCTACAGGATCAAGTCTAAATTCCTTCTTGTGCTCTTCACAATGTGCTCAGCCCCCTTCCACCATTCACCCAGCACCCACGCAAACCCAGGCTCTCCGCACTCTCCAGACAAGTCCCATCATGCAGCATGTGACTGCTCCCTCTCCTTAGGCTGCCTTTCCCCACCTCTGTCTGGCAAACTCCTACTCATGCTTCATCACCCTATCTTACCCCTGGTGAGCTTCCCCTGCTCCCCTAGGCTCAGGAAGTCTCTGCTTCCCAAGACCCTCCTACTCCTTGGTTCCTCAGTGGTTCTAACTCGAGTGGGGATCGGGATCAGCATCAGCTGGGGGCTTGTTCAAACACGGGCGCTGGGCCCTGCTCTGAGTGTGTGATTCAGTAGGTAGGAGGTGGGGCCTGAGAGTGTGCATTTCTAACAAGGGCTTGGGTGATGCTGCAGCTGCTGGTGCAGGGACCACTTTTGAGAACCTCGCCTCCAGCGCACCGCTGGTCCCCATCTGCCTCGCCTTATAGTTTGGGTGTATTACAGGCTACGAGTCTGTCTTTCAACCAGAGTCTGAACCCCAGGCTGCCGTAGCCCCTCCTTGGTCTGGCTTCTGTTTCACGTGCTGTCGCCCTCCTACTTTTCAGCTCTGAGGCCACCTTCCCTGAGCCTCTGAAGTGGCCACTACTCTGACCACCCCTACCCCCTACCCTCACCACTGATGTCCAGGGTTGGTCCAGTTCCTCCCTGCTCTGTCCTCAGCTGTGTCTGCATCCTGCGGGGGTGGGGGGGTGGCCTGCCTTCCTCTGCCCCAGATGGGGAGACCCCCAAGGGCAGTGAAGGTGGAAGAAGGAGGGGTTCTAGGCTAGGCTTTCTCCAGAAAGTCCCACCTTGTCGATGAAGGAGGCAAACTTGTTGTTCAGAGCCTTTATCTGCTCCCGCTCTTGGGTGCACACTTTCTGGATCTCGGGGTCCAGCTCCACATTGAGGGGGGCCAGGATGCTCTTATTGACGGTGACCTGGTGGATGCCCTCATGTGGGCACACGGATGGACACGCAGGACCCAGGGCCACACTGCCAAACATGCTGCCAGCAAAGCCACTGGCCCGGCTGCAGCCAAACCCGTAACCCCCTTCCCGCCCGCTACCACTGGCCACGTTGAAAGAGATGCTCCGGGCGTCCCCCACGCTGTAGAGGCTTCGACTGCTGAAGCCCCCACTGAGTCCTTTGTTCCCTCTGCGGTAGGAGGACAAGCTGCCCCCTGAGAGCCCTGCTGAGCAGCCACTGAAGCCCCCCTTGGCGGCAGCTCCCGACTTGTAGGTGTATTGGCGGCTCACGCTGAGGAGGCCAGAGAGCTGGAATAAGATGCTAACTCTTAGCTGAGATGCAATTCACCAGCCTGCGATCTCAGGCTCCCCCTTTATAGGGCTCAGGAGGGAGCCGCTGCCCTAATTTGTGGCTTTAGTTTGCCTGGGGGCAAGAAATCATTTTCTCCCAGCAAAATCAGAGAGGGGTAAATAACTTGAAAACCCCCAAATTGCTGAGCTGGCAAAGGCAAACCTTGCTCATGTAATCTGAGTCTTATCTGATTACATGGGCTCATTATCCTGGCCAAATGATCCCCAGAAAGATCTTGGCTGGAAGGTTTGTCAAAGCCTCAATTGCCCTTCCCCGGGGAATGGAGGGACTGGATCGCGGGGGTGCAGGGGGGAGACGTTTAATTGACAGCGTCAAAAGGGAGAGATGTCACAACTGTCCCCGCGTCAGATAGGCTTCCTCAGGGACGCTGGCTGAGCTGCTTTTCTGTGCTTAGGAAGAGACTCCCCAGCCCGGCTTCCCAGGGTTTCCGGAGACTGTTCTCATGGCTGGCCAGGGCCACAGGAGACAAGCCCACTCGGAATCCAGGCCCAGCCCTCTGGCTGCCAGTCCCTGCTGTGCCCTCCCAGGCAGATCTCTTGCTCCTCTGTGCCAGCCAGGCTGCCCTGCACACACTGACTTTGTTCCTGTATCCTCCCACCGCCCCCACCCTTGACCTTGACTTAATGACATTGCCACCATTCAAGATGGCTGGCACTGGTGTACAGCTTTACAGCATTGAAAGAGCTCCTTGCACACAGAGGCTCATTTAATCCAGTTAACCTGGGGAGGAGCTGTGATGATCCACGTTTTACAAATGGGAACACCACAGCTCAGATAGTCAAGGATAGCAAACATTTCATGAGCCCTTTCTTTGTATGAATCCCAGAGCATGCAAACACCCAACAAAACACAGGACCCAGCTTTGAGGACCCCCTCGGCTGGTCTTCAGACCCCACACTCAGAGTTATGCTGGCCTTATTTGTTTATCCAGCAGCCAGCCAGCCAGCCAGCCCTTCACCTACTTGTTCATTCATCTATCCATTCATGTAACAATCTTCTGTCGAGGGCTGCCTCTGCCCCAGGTACTGTGCTAGGCTCTGGGGTCATAAATTAATAAGACAGAAGCCTAGTTCATTATTCTAGGGGGGAGGGCAGACACTTGAATTTTGTTAGACCCTTGGTGTTACCAAAGAATGTGACCCAAGAGTTTCACAATTCCCAAATCCCAAATACACTCATAGTGTGTAACTTCCTCCATAAAAATGCAATCATTTCACTAGCTGAGTGCTTGAATGAACGGCTTGCCAATCCTTTTTTTCTATTTGTGCGCAGAGGGATTATGGCCCTATTCCGTATTATGTATTATAACACACAGTGTTATGCCTCTAATACTATTGTATCAAGCAATTGCCAAATTCAACCTCCCTCATTTTTTTTATACGAAACAGCTATTTTCTAGTTGAGAAAAACCATTTTCTTAGATGGTCTCAGTTTCACCACCAGCAATGGCATTTGGCCATCTTTTCCGTCTTTTTCACTAGGCACAAAGGTTTTAGCCCTTTGCAGTTTCTTCATAAGGCACGATGGGTAAAGACCAGAGCTGTGCTGTGACAAGGATGCTGAGTGTTCCAGCCAGCACGACCCCCAAATTGACTCCTTTCAGCACCAGAGTCAGGGTAGACGGGATTCAGACCCGTGTCTCAGCAGAACTGCCAACTGCCATCACAGGCCTGGAGATCACTCCCTAAGGGCTGAAAGCAAGTGTTCATGCTGTGAACGCCATCTCTGTCTGTGGTGTGTGAGTGCAAATGAGCAGCCAGCCCCTCACCCCACATGGCCTCCACTTCCCCTCTCCCACCCCGGCCTTTCCACCCCGTGAGCCTGCCACAGGAGCACCTGGGAAACCTTCTCTTGTCACTTGTCTCAATCCAACCGCTCCTATCTGGCCAACCTCCCCAAACTGTACCACTTCTCTGCTCTAATTCAGTATCTCCACCTGTGTTCCAGATGTGTACCAATCTTCTCCGACAGCCAGAAAGTTTCCTGAGGGCAAGACCCAGATCCCATCATTCGTCTAGTCCTCTTTACTCACTGCCAGAACCGTGGGGGTGACAGATTCTCAGGAAGTCAGAGAGGAAGCAAAAGAGCTTGTTAAGAGGATAAAAAGACAAGCTTACAGACTGGGAGAAATTATTTGCAAAGCAAATATCCAGCAAAGGACTAGGATCTGGAATATATAATGAACTCTCAAAACTCAACAATAAAAGAACAAGAAATCGCATTGGAAAATGGGTGAAAGGCATGAAGAGAGATTTTCTTGAAGAGGATCTACAGATGGCAACTAAGCATGTGAAGAGATTTTCAACGTCACTAGCCATTAAGGAGATGCAAATTTAAACCACAATGAGATATCACTACACATCCATCAGAATGGCTAAAATAAAACTTAAGTGACAACACCAAACGCTGGCAAGGATTCCGAGAAACTGGATCACTCATACATTGCTAGTGGGGATGTAAAATGCTGCAGTCACTCTGGAAAGCAGGTGGGCAATTTTTAAAAAACTAAATATGCAGCTACCATACATCCCAGCAATTACACATCTGGGCGTTTGTCCGAGAGAAATGAAATCTTGTGTTCACACAAAAACTGTGCACAAATGTTCATAGCAGTTTTATTTGTAATAGCCAAAATATGCAAACAATCCAGATGCCCTTCAGTGGGTGACAAACTGGTACACCCATACCGTGGAGTACTGCTTAGCCAAGAAAAGGAACAAACTATTGATCCATGCAATGGCCTACATGAATCTCCAGAGAATTATGCTGAGTGAAAAAAGCCAGTCACAAAGGGTTCCATACTATATGATTCCATTTATATAACATTCCTGAAATACAGAAACGGAGAACAGATCAGTGGTTGCCAGGGCAAAGGAGAAGGTGTCACAGGAGGTATGGGTGTGTCTCTACAAGGACAACATGAGGGATTCTTGTGATGAAGGAAACGTTCTATATTTTAACTGTATCAATGTCAATATCCTGTTTGTGATATTGTTCTACAGTCTTGCAAGGTATTATCATCTTACAACATTTATTGGGCACTTACTATGTGTCAGGCACTGTTCTGAGCACATTAATCCTCAAAATAACCCTATCAAGGAGGTATGAATAACATACACTTTTTACAGATAAGGAAACTGAGGCACAGAGAGTTTAAGTCTCTTGGACAAGGTCACACAGCTGGGAGCTGGGAATGGAATCCAGGCAGTCCACTGTAGAGCTCTTAACCAATACTACCTGAAATCTTTTTAAAATAATTCATTTCCCCGGCCCCAAGATTCCAATTCCAAAGGTCTGGGGCAGGACCTGAGCTTGTAGAGTTTCCTATACTTCCTCACACTTTTTTCTTTGGAGCCTGAACCTACCCTCAGGGGCTCTGCCTTGTAAAGGCACTATCGGGAGCATGATATGGTTTCAGCTCACATTCCATTGTCCAGAAGTTAGTTCCATGGCCGCAATTATCTGCAAAGGAGGCTTGGAAATGTAGTCTTTAGGTGGGTGGCCATGGGCTCCTTGACAATTTCTATTTCTGTAGAAGAAGAGGAAGGCTGCTGAGGGACGAGCAGCAGGCTTGGGCACACTCTGTCTGCTAGATAAGCACTCTCGTCCCTGTGTCACTCCACTCTTTAAAACCGCACGATGGAGTCCAAATCTCTTGAGGTAACACCGCAGCAGGATGACCAACCATCCTGGTTTGCCTGGGACCGAGTGGGTTCTCAGGACATGGGCCTTTCAGTTTTAAAACCAGAAATGTCCCAGGAGCACAGAACAAGTTGGTCAATCTACCCAGAAAGCCTCTGGTCTCGTGATCCAGCCCCACCCCCCTCTCCTGCCACTCCTCTCTCCAGCCTTCGCCAGACCTCATATCCTTGAAAGAGCCCACAGAGCCAAGCTCTTGTCAACCTTCAGTTATTCAACCTATATTTACCGACCACCTACTATGCTCTTGGCTCTTTTCGCAGGGGATATGGCACCTCCATCTAACTCCTCCTTGCTAACTCCTCCTCCTCTCTCAGGTTTCCGATGTCAGCTCCCAGGGCTCTTCATCAGGAAGTCTCCCCCAACCTCCTGGTCTGGCCCCTTGCTCCCGACGTGCACTTCCCCGAGACAGCACTCAGATCCCTGTACTCTGGTTGCACATGCGCTCGCCTGCCCTCCAGGTAGACAAAGGTCTTGGTTGCCTTTTTGTACCAGTGTCGAGAATAGAGTCTAGCACACAGTAGGTGCTCAATAAGTGATGGTTGAATGAATGCTGCCTCTCCAGGAGCCTAGGGCTTGCTCAAACTAGAAGCTGTGCCCAACCTCTCCCTGGCCATTTCCCTCCTCTAAGCGCCCAGAACAGAGCTCACGACAGGGAACCGACGAGCCCCCCTCCCAACCCAACACTGCTGGACTCTGCAGGCTGCTGGGCTGGGAACTGCTTTCTGGCCGAAGCAGGAGACAAAGCAACAGAGCTGTCCTCTGACCTGAGCCCCAGGCTGCTGCTTCCCACTCCACACCCTCTGGCCGTTCACCTGATAATAATCCTCACATCAATAAGGATAGCAACACGGTTACCCCTTCATTAGGCAATAATGACCCCAGGTTGGCTGCCAAGCAAGGCTCGAGGACCTGAAGTTAATTATTTTAAAAACAGAAGCTGAGCTTTCCCAATAAAGAGAGGAAGTACGAGCCATTTTTTGCCCACCTTCCAAAGCTAAAGAGAAATACAAGGCCCTTCTGGGAGCACAGGTGACCGAGCCAGGGAGAACAGA